ACAGAGCAGTTAACTCGGACACTCTTTTGGCTGACGTTAAGGCAAGAAGCAAAGCTGTTTTCCACGACAATGCTTTCAGAGGGGAGAGCTCCAGAGGCTCAATGGTCCCGAGGCCAGAGCCTCGAGCACTAGGGGCAGGTCCCACTGCGGGGTGGAGACGTGCACTACAGGGCGCAGTCTCCTAACCCCCTGTAAAAACCGCGACATCAGTGGTTGATTAAAGGCTGACCTGCCACCAAAAACCCTCATGACAGGACGAGATGGCTGCTGCATACACTTTCACTGTGAAATGCGCCAGCCCTCTGTCCACCAGAAGGATAAATAGATAAAATAGAGCCCAACTCACAAGATAGGGGCTCTATTCCCCGCTCCTCACACCAATGCTGGAATCTCAGCCACTTTGGCCTGTAACAGGCTGTGGTGGATTCTGCTCTAGCTGCCTGGATAGACTGAATAACGCTGTCAGACAATCCACCCTGTCTCAGCCTGTCCCTCTCAGGAGCCAAGCCTGAAGAGGACGGCCCAGAGTGGGTAACGCCCTGATTGCACCTGCCCCTTGAGACATCGCCCCCCAGAACTGGGGGATCGCCCAGGGCTGGCCCACCTTCATCTGTGTCATTTCTGAGTACCACGGAGCCCCGACGCGATTCGGTGCTACCAGAATGACTGCCAGACGTTCTCGCCTCACTCTCCCCAGGAGAGGGAGAATGGGACGCAGCGGTGGAAAGGCGTATAGCAGCTTCCTTGGCCATGGCTCGTGTGAAAACGCGTCCACCCCCAAGGGCGGGTCGTTGCTCAGGGCCATGGAGAACCACAGGGCACAGTGGCTGTTGCGCCGGCTGGCGAACAGGTCCACTTCTGCTCTCCCGAACTGGGCCCAGATCTGCTTCACCACCTCCGGGTGAAGCACTCGCCTGGCAGGGGGCCGCCCCTCGACCTGAGGTCGGCCCCTCTGTTCTCCAGTCCCGGGACATGGAGGGCTCTCAGAGATAACACCACCTCTGAGGCCCATAACCACAGCTCCTCCGCTGTGGTCAACAAGGAGGCGGAGCGGACTCTGCCCTGCCTGTTGATATAAGCCACTGTGGTGCTGTTGTCGCACCTGACCATTACATGTCTCCCCTGAATTAGGGGCATGAAATGTCGGAGGACTAACACTACTGCCCGTAGCTCTAGGAGGTTGCTGTATCGAAACTCTGTCAGAGCCCAGCGCCCACCTATAGCTCTCTTCAGGCAGGTCCCTCCCCATCCTGTTCCGGACGCGTCCGTGAACACTGTGATGTAGGAGGTCACCCGTCCCAGTGGAGACCCCCTCCGGAGGTGGTCCGGAGACCCCCAAAACCGGAGGTTGCCCCTACTGAGGGGGGGGAGGAATGGTCACCAGCCGTCGTTTGTGCCTCCAAACGCAGGCTGGGGAACCACCTCTGCAGGCGGCGCATATGTAGTAACCCCAGCGGGACCACCATGTGAGCAGCCGCCATGAGACCCAGAGTCTGCATGACAGTTAAAGCTGTCACTGTCGCCCCCTGTCGCAGCCTGTGCACCGCCCTGTGAAGGGACGCACGTCTGCTCTCTGACAGGGTGGCACGCAGCGCGTCTGCATCGAGCACCACACCCAAATACAACGCCTGTTGGCGAGGTATGGGGGTGTTCTTTTTCCAATTGATCGCAAAACCTAATTTGGTTAGGTGTGTGATCAACTGTGCTGTGCAAAACATTGCCTGTTCCCGGGACCCAGCCATGACTATGAGGTCGTCTATGTAAAAGAAAACTCTCATGCCGTGTGCGCGCAGCGGTTGAAGCGCTGTGGCCACACATTTGCTGAATGTGCGTGGGGATAGGGAATAACCGAACGGCAGCCTGTTGTACTCATAGGCTGTTCCCTGGAAGGCAAAACGCAGATACTTTCTGTGCTCTGGAATAATTTCCACATGAAAGTACGGGTCTTTCAGGTCGATGGTGGTGAACCAATCGCCTGGCTGCACAAGCCCTAGTAACTGTTTCACAGTTAACATGCGGAATTTCCTGCTGGAAATATGACGATTCAGGCATCGGAGATCTAGAATAGGTCTGAATTCCCCTGTTTTCTTGAGAACCAGGAAATACATGGAATAAAGACCCTTCTCTCTGTGCTGAGGCTGCACAACAGACACAGCCTGTTTCTGCACCAGAGCCTGAATCTCTGCTGAGAGGAAACCCATCTCCTCCTGGGAAGACAGATTTACCTCCCGCATGCCCATAACAGGAGGTGGGATGCTGCAAAACTGGAGTGAATAGCCCCGTTTCAGCGTCCTGTCCATCCACCTTGTCAGTACACAGCTGAGTTTCCATTCCCCATAACATTGTGTTAATGGGCAAGCCCTCAGCTGTGGGGCCGCAGCTATAAAGCTGTGATACTCTCTGATGACCCGCTCCCCCGCAAAACTCCCCGTAAAGGGGAGATTCGCCCGTGGGGGGTCGAAGCAGAAAGGGCGCTCACGTGTGAGCGCACGCTCCCTCGTAATGCTATTTTCCTCACTATGGAAAACAGTATTAACCGGAGCTTTTACAGGCGTAGTGTGTTTTACTAAGGCCCCTGAACGCACCGCCACGCGCCTCTTTACGAGTGCGGGCGTTGCTATAATGCAGTTTCCACTCAGCGAAAAAAACGGCAGATTTTCCACTGAGGTACCTGAACGCACCACGGCACGCTCCCGTGAGAGCACGCGCTCCGCCATAATGCTGCTTCTTCTTAGAGAGAAAGAGGCATTAATCTGAGCTTCTTCTGTCCATGAATGCACCGTGGCCCGCTCTCGAGGGGGGGCCGTCATAATGCTATTTCCCTCACTATGGAAAACAGCATTTAACCGGAGTTCTTACAGGCGTAGTGTGTTTTACTAAGGCCCCTGAACGCACCGCCACGCGCCTCTTCACGAGTGCGGGCGTTGCTATAATGCAGTTTCCACTCAGAGAAAAAAACGGCAGATTTTCCACTGAGGTACCTGAACGCACCACGGCACGCTCCCGTGAGAGCACGCGCTCCGCCATAATGCTGCTTCTTCTTAGAGAGAAAGAGGCATTAATCGGAGCTTCTTCTGTCCATGAACGCACCGTGGCCCGCTCTCGAGGGGGGGCCGTCATAATGCTATTTCCCTCACTATGGAAAACAGCATTTAACCGGAGTTCTTACAGGCGTTGTGTGTTTTACTAAGGCCCCTGAACGCACCGCCACGCGCCTCTTCACGAGTGCGGGCGTTGCTATAATGCAGCCCCTATCACTATAGTAAGCAGCATTATTTGGAGTCTTAGCTTCAGGCATAGAATGTTTTCTAACAGAAAAACGTCGGCCAACATGTCCCTGTACCCGCACCGCACTATAACAGTGCTGCCTGCGGTTCATCACTCCCACCTGCGCACTCCCACTAGCCTCCTCCCTAACGGGAGCTATAGCTGGGGCGGCGAATGGGGAACTTGTACAGTCATCAACATGTGCAAGTGTATTGTGGAAACAAAGGACACTCAGACTTGGATACAGATCAACACCATCTTTATTTTAAAAGTTTTGACAGAGATCTGGGCATTAAATAGACAGATAACTCCGCGAAGATGGAGTTCCCCACCCGGGTGCTCTGCTGTTGCGGAGCCTGCCTCGGTTGGGCAGCCCCTCCCCGTGATTGCCGGTATGCCGGTGCCACGGGGTGGGCCGTAGAGGTGGAGGGCGCTGCAGCTACGGGACCCCCGTGCCGGCGCCTCTCCCTCCGCTTCACTGTCGTACTACGCTCCCTCCTCTGCATGGCATGCGAGGGGGGCACGTAGCGGAGCCTGAGGAGGAGCCAGCGATAGCATGCGGCTAAGCTGGACTCTCTCCTCCTCTAGGCGGCTGACTGGGTGACCGAGGAGACCGACCCAAAGAGCCCCTCCGTGGACACGGGGGCTCCGAGGAGATCTCTCGGTCCTTTTTTAGATAGGGCCGTGAGCCCTGGCCACACGTGACGAGACGCCACTGTGGCCAGGGAAATCATCTGCCCTGCTGCGGTGGCCACGCCATAAATCAGATTACTCATCTGACTAACAGCGTGGTCCGAATAATCGCTCTCGTCCTGAGACGGGAGGGCGGGGGCGTCTGCCTGAGGGTGATCAGGAAGACGCCAACACGCCAAGATTATCGGGGCCTTCGTTTTAAATGGCTGCTGCCATGTCGCCTCCACACACCGCCATACCTCTGGCACCTGGGGCGAAAGGAAGGTCGGCTGCGCCGGATGCAGCGGGCCATAAACCCCCGATCACAGGCGGTTTACAGGCCTCGGTGGCAGCGGTGGGGGGAGCGGTAAACCTACACGCTCCGCCGCCAGAGTCATCACCGCTGGGAAATCCATCCGCGCAGAGCTGAGAGTTGGACCTCCGGATAGCGAGGCGTCCTCGTCGTCGATCATCGGAACCGGGGCCGTCTGGCCCCACGGCAGGGAGAACCGGAACGATGCCCCCTCGCTTCCCGAATTGCCCATGTCCACGACGTCGAGATCCAGCTCCTCCGACTCCTCCTGCGGGGCAATCTTCTCCAGGAAGTGCTGCCCACGATGCTCCCTCGTGCGCCGCGGGATCGCCTGACAGGGCCCCAAACACGTGAAGCAGAGGGGGTGCGGATCGACTCCTGAAATCAGGTTCGGACAATTCGGGCAGGTCCTATGGTCCAGCCATACTCTCTCTCTATTACTTTCACTTCAATACGTCTTACGTCTTCTGTGGAATCACTTCCGCTTAGCTGAAGAGAAAAAGGATAGCAGTCAGGAGGCGAGGCCTCCTTTTATACGGTGTGATGCGCGCGCATTCAGGTAGGCCCGCCCTGGGCCGGCTACGTCTATAGAAGTCTCAGTGGGAGAATGCACGCGGGATAAGGTAGTACCCATAGAGTCCAGTAGAGGGCGGAGCCTGTGAGAGATATAACACATTTACTTCAAAACATGAACTTAGCTTAGCAAAATCCTTTCAAGTCTTACAAGTTTGTTTCTATGTTAATACAGGCTACCAGAGGCAGCTGAACTACAAGCATATTGATGGTGCCTATAGTACATTTGGAAAAGGAACTGGGAACACTTGGTGAGAAAACTACTGATCGATCATCAACATCTAAGAACAACAATATGTACATGCTGTTGAATTTTCACCCTGTGGTACTCAGACATAAAGATTACCCTCAGTGATAACAGAGAGATGATGCACATTGGAGCACACATGTTGTGGAAAATGTTATTTTCTTACCACGAATGGGCTATATCAACACAAGCAAGTTAAAGTATTTCAAATGAATGCATGAAATAGCGTGGTATGTTTTGTACCTCTTGAGACATTACACAGATCATGATCTTTAGTTGTTTATATCAGTCATATCTAACTTGTTTTTAATATCCTCAGGCTGACTGCTTTTGTGGTGAGATCATTTGCCAAAGCACAGTCTTTTGTCTACATTGACCCAGCAAAGATGGAAGAGTCTAAGATTTGGCTCCAAAGGAAACAACGAGGAAATGGCTGTTTTGAACAGTCAGGAAAGCTGTTTAACAACAGAATGAAGGTAATCAAAGTCCTTCTTCTCATGAAAATACCTGATAATAACTGAAATTTAGAAGGTTAGAATTGTCCATTTTCACTGAACCACATTTTGCTGTACCTTTATTTAAAGGGGACCTATCATGCAAAATGCACTTTTGTACGTCTTTTATACATGAATATGTGTCCCCGGTGTTCCAGGGAACTCACCAAGTGTCAGAAAATACAACCCTCTCTATTTTCCTCCATACCCAAATCTCTAAAAAAGGGGCTGCAACGGATCTGATAAAAACTGATCCAGATTTGAACACTGTCCTGACGTCAGGACGGTGGCGCTACGGCTATTGGGCCAACTCCACCAATCAGGAGGAGACAGCCACGGCCATTGCCGTTCGAAAGCGCTGGAGACGCTGTAGTACATATGCCAGGCCTGAAGATGGTGCTGTTCTCACAGAATCAGCCCTTGCAAAAACAGAGCTAACATTTTTCAAATTGAGCGAAATGAGGCATGGCTAAAATGCATGATCTGTTTGATATTTTGAAAAAAAGAAAGTATAAATATGCCTTATATAGGTACAGTATGGTCCTACACTATATTATTCAAATATAACATGATAGGTCCACTTTAAATGCAAATACACAGTCAGCCAGTTTTACAAAATGTGTGACATGCAAGCGGCGATTTGCAAGATTAGATCACTGGACTTGTCTTGCAAAATAAAGACCATAATTGCAACTCATACATGAGCATGCGAGAGACATGTGGGCTCAGAGTGACAACCATGTGAAAATGTCCTGTTTTAAACATGCCCCCATTTGTACATTGCTTGCGAGCCGTGCTTAAAAATACTTCTGTGAATCAGGCCCTGGGTGTGGGAGGTGCTGTGCTAATCTGTATGTTTGATGGTTTTTCTCTACAGGGAGGTGTGTCTGATGAAGTGACTCTCAGTGCCTACATCACTGCTGCTTTCTTAGAGATTAATGTATCTGTGGATGTGAGTACACCAAGGAGTGCACTTAAGGTTGCTGTGACGCCTGTTCCTTCCATCAATTTAATTGTGTTGGGTGTGTGTGTTTGTGAAACCATTTCATTACATATTTAACAATTTGAACAGATCCTACATTATTATAGAAACTTGTGATCACTTGTGGAAAAATACTTCCTACATCCTTTCTCTGGGTGTACTTTTCTCTGCCCAATGAAGCTAAATGGATCTTGTGCAAAAGAAGAATTGGGCTTTAGGATTCATTATATCTGTGTTTTTTTACATAATTATATTCTTCTCGGGCTAATAATTATGAGTTTGAACCGATTTGTCAAAGTTCTTTAAAGGGAACCAACCACACTGTTCAGATGATAGATGATAGATAGATGAACATCATGTTGAAAATACTTAGGATTAATAATTTGTCTGTAGTTATATCCAAAATATTTATGTTGTTTGGTACATTTGACTAACCTTAGTGTTTTCGCTCAAAATACTCACTGGTAAAGACTTGTTTCTCATGTGCCTTTTCTTTTTGCTGTTGGTTAACATTATAACCTGCATTTATTGAAGTTTTCTCTCTTGATAACATTGCAGTCAAATATAATAGCATCAAGAACTAGAATAAACTTGGTGTTTTGATGGATTAAATCAGTTCAGACCTGACTTTATTTACTGTGTAATTCTTTTAATCTGATCTAGGATCCTGTGGTGAACAAGAGCCTGTCTTGCCTCAAAGAGTCCATCAGTGACCTCAGTAACACCTACACCACAGCTTTGCTGGCGTACGTCTTCACCCTGGCAGGCGACATGGAGACCCGTGCTCACCTTCTCAATCACCTAGACACTGTTGCAATACAACAAGGTGAGTCATCATCCAAAAAATAAATATCTGGCTTAACTACTGTGGGTCTAGCTTACCTTGTATCTGTTTGTCTGTTTGTGGATGGCTGATTCAGGAGGTTTCCTTCACTGGTGTCAGACAGCATCAGAAAAATCTGCCTCTCTGTCTGTGGAGATCAGCTCCTACGTGCTGCTGGCCAAACTCAGTGCCTCTCCCACTACTGAAGACTTGGGCTATGCTGCTGGCATCGTTAGATGGCTGGCGGGCCAGCAGAACTATTACGGAGGTTTCTCCTCCACACAGGTAAAGCACACACTGCTAAAAACTGGACTTACAGTTAAACATATAAGTCACCCTGATCAATATGATGAACAAAGTTACCTAAAATGTATTTAGCTTTGCTCTGACCTAGCAACATTTACATATGTAGGCGCACACAACATATGGTATTTTTGTATGCGTGTTGTAGGACACAGTGGTGGCTCTTCAGGCTCTGGCTCTCTACTCCGCTCTGGTGTTCAGTCCAGGAGGTTCAAGCTCGGTGACAGTACAGTCTTCCAGTGACACTCTGACATTTGATGTGAACCAGAACAACAAACTGCTCTACCAGGAGAAGCTTCTGCAGGACGTGACAGGAAAGTTCAGCCTGGAGGTGAAGGGCACTGCATGTGCTGCAATGCAGGTCAGTGGTCATGCAGATTTACCTGTTTCCCTTTGAGATACGTACACCACAATCCAACCCTGTCTCCTAAAAATTACGTTCCCACAGAACTAAACTGCATTCTCAATTACGTTTAGCTAGAAACGTATTTTTTCCCACGTTACGTTTGTTATGAACGTATCTCAAATACGTTTATTTTCTACATATCTTCTAGAAACATATTTTCTCCCACGTTACGTTTGATATGAACGTATCTTAAAGGTGGGGTAGGTAAGTTTGAGAAACCGGCTTGAGATACACTTTTTGTTATATTCCATGGAATGCTCTTAACATCCCGATAGCAATGAATATCTTAAGTGCTTTGACAAAAAATCCATAAAAAAATGTCATCTGTGGAAGCCGTAATACTGTAAAAAGTACGACCAATCATTTTAGCCGGCCTGGCTAAAATAACTGGATGGCCAACCTGCCTGTCAGCCTTCCATCTGTGCACAAACTTATCTCGTGCCCTCATTGGTCATGTGCGTGTTCGTGTGTGTTGGAGGAGGGGCTCTATAAGGAAGTGGCAGATTTTCTCCGGTTGTGTATTTTCAAATTCTAGCGATCTTGAGCCGGTTTCTCAAACTTACCTACCCCACCTTTAAATACGTTTATTTTCTATATATCTTTGCCATTTATTGTCTTGCTTATAATAATGATAATAGTCATTTATAAATATCATTTTAGAGCACACATTTGAAATCGACGATCGGGCTCGATATATGGTTAAATTAAAATCAGTAGGCGAGGCTGTAATTTCGCCAGCTGCGAGGCAGAAAATAATAGTTTTAACATGCCAAAAAGCTGCTGTGTCGTTTATTGCACCTCAAACATTAAAACAAATCCAGAGTTACGTGTTTCTTCAAGAAAGGACAGTAACAGAAGAGCTCTGTGGCTTCAGGCTTGATCGCCGTTCAAATGACAGCGTTGGTTTCCCCAAAAGTGGGTGGGGCTGTAAAGTGACGTAGATTTTACTCTCATCTATTATTCAAAACCATTCTATTTATTCTAACGTAAATTACATGCCAGTGTTTTATCTTTTTATTTTGCAATTTGTTTTTGCACTGGGAATGTTTTCATGTGGAACCGGAAGTACGTCACTTCACTTTGTCTTCTTCGTCCCTTTTACGTTCCAGACAATGCATGGCTCAGCGTAACAGACTGAACATCGACCGCAGGTGTGTCTACATTGGAATTACATCTTCATTACTGAAGGAAAAATACTTTACCTAGTGTTTGTTAACTGGGTTTTTAATGCAGTTGGCTTTTCTTAATGGTTACAATATTGCTATGAGTTATATCTGAAGTAAATTATGTTTCTGAAGATGTGTAGTCAATTCCACCCTTCAATGTAGCATAAATGTGAACTCTCATTACAGGAACAATACCGGAAACAGACTTAGGAAAGATCCTCAGCTCGCTGATTGGATGTTTTAGCCGCAATGCACGTTGGGATATGGTGTTTATGCAATGTGAAATCCGAAAACATTTAAAAATATAATAATACTTTATTCCGAGTGTTCTTGCTTTTCTCTTTGGAAGTCATCACATAACGGCATTGTAATATACGGTTCGGCTGCATTAAATATTACACATCTGCCGTAGTTCTTTATTTATAGAGCCCTGATGAGAAGACTTCTGGACAAACAGGAAGAAGTGCCGCCGAAACTGAATACGTGACGTGGATCATAAATATATCAACAATTACACAATATCTTACATTTATTTTCACAAAATACGTCTCCTTGCAGTATCAATAGTAATTCGGCTGACTTTTATATTTGATCCAATTGGTAGATAGGTTATATTTACTGTACACCATAACGGTGCACAGCTGATATAAAAGGACTTGTAGTTTTTAAAGATATTACTGATTTTCTTTGAATATAAGAATGTAAATACTGAGTTGAGAGAATAGTCAGGGGATTTGGGTGATGGGAGACACATCTATGGAATCACAATTTCAATAGCTTACCATTAAATGACGGATATACCTTTCTGTCTGTGATGTTTTACAAATCAGATATTAATGTGTAGAAGTAAAACATGAGAAATAATATAGCAATATCCTGTAAAATTATGTAAAAACATGAATAAAACTACACATCTTCAGATGTTATACATACATAAGTGTCCTACACTAATAATACAAAGTTATTATTAGTATGCTGTGTGTACCTTGTGTGCACCGCCTAGTGGTTAAAGCACGTTATTGAATTATTTTTGTTGAATAATGTTATTTTTGTTGAATAATGTTATTTGATGAAAAAAATATTAAGAGTACATACTTTCATAGGGTGAAAGTAGAAGGTCAATGATAGAAATATAGAATATAAAAAATCAAGAAGATACTGTACATGATCTCTACAATAAAACAGTTTAGTGCCGGATGTATAAAGATATGAATATGAGGATGTGCAAAACAGACAAACTAATTAACCTTTATTCAAACATTAAAGAATACTTTAGGTTAAGGTCTTCTTTTAACTAAGAAAAAAACTTTGGGGGTATCTACAGATAAATATTAAGCCTGACAAAGTACTTAACGTCTAATATATTGCTTTCCTGCAATGTTAACTATGTTGAAGCACTTATTTTAACTGATATTATACACATTAATTATACTCTTATGTATGTAGATAGTATAAGAAATGTGCAGAATTTGACAGTTTAATGGTGGAGGTATACACACATATTGATAGATGTCTTGTAATGCACTGTTGAGGAACCTGTGACCCAAGTTTTTCATTCATTGCATAACTACACCGTAGTTGTGTATATGATATGCAGAGATGGGGTCGTTACTAAAAAAAAGTAATATATTACATATTACATATTACTTTAAAAAAAAGTAATATATTACACTACTTCGTTACTCTCTACATAAAGTAACTCGTTACTTTACTCGTTACTTTACTCGTTACTTTACTCGCAGGGCCGGCCCGCCCCTCCCTACAGGCAGATCACGCAGACTGCTAAAGTTTCAAATGTTCTCTTTGTGGAGGAAACTTCTGTGTAGCAATGCATGGAGTCACCGACTCAGGAAGGAGACACGGTGAGAGTTGGAGCTTTGATGTCAAACACTGATGGGTTTATTTCAGAGTATCGGCCGGAGGATTCACATCACAAATCAAAGAGTCAGAGGTTCTGACTACACGGTAGAGTTGCCACGTCAATTCTGAAGAGCCTCTCTCTATGTTAGACCTTTTAACTGGTTCACAGAGAATCAACATCTCTGAAGGAGTAGACTAAACAGCTGGGAACACTGAGCCACCTGCGTCCGACACTCATGGCCTCAAGGATTTCACATCCTAGAGCCCACAAACACCGATAAAGAAGTGCCTCAGTGTTCTCACAACAATTACCCCTCGTGCCAGACAAGTTGACCGGTCACAAACTGGTAACAACAACACATATGGCACCAATGCCTTTCCTTAAAGGAGATAACAGACGTCAGAGTAGATCATAAAACGTCACCGAGCAAAAGGTTAGATATCTAGAAGAATTATTCCTTAACAGTTCCTCTCTTTTTATCATTTTTGATAACCTTAAAACATTAGTCTCATAATAATTCTGGTCAATACTTAAATCAATAGGCGTCTTCAGATTTGACTGTGGTCTCACCTTACATTCAATTACATCACAAAGTAGAATAAGATTGAAACATTCAATCACAATGATTGATACAGGCAATCATAATAGGAAAGATTATCTCTCATCAGTGTTTGGAGCATCTTTTGTCAATAAGTACAATAATGAACACACATAAAACACAGATACATAATAGCAAAATATTTGTTTTAAAATAATATCTTTTATCATTTAAACCATTAGTTAATGTCATTTATCAAACTATAAAATCAAAACCAGCTTGCAGCTTAAAGATTTGCTTTAAGGCAATCACTAGTCAAAAGCATTTAAAATGTAGGATCATAAGAGATACAATTCACAGTGGTGATTTGATCAATCTGTAATCTGCAAAGTTGCAGTGTCCTCAATTTTAGGATTACTTTACGTTTACTTCATTACGCTTTAGCCAAGAGTAAGGCACTTAGTCTTAGAAAAATCAATACATTCATTTTAGTCAAGTACATTGGTCAAAATCTGAAAAGGAAAAGTTAGGCAAATATTCAAAGACTTTTGTAAAAACCTGGAAAGGAATGATTAAACATTCTTAAAACTTTAATTCATACATTTGTAAATGCTACAACTGATCTGTACCAAATTAAGTCTATCAATTATTCTTATTAGCCATACTTACCTGAAAATCTACTTATGGTACTTGGAAAGGGTTCTTCTGTGTTTATCTAATGTTGAATATAGAATATCAATTTCTTTAAATTATACTTCTCTAATTTGAGGATCAAATATGCTACATAATTGTTATATGAATTATTATAAATATTTGTTTTGGGCCAAAACTGAAATTAATCCAGTACTTGAAACATCATTGTAGGTCTGTCTGTGCATGGATAATACATTAAAGAGTAGTGTTGTTAAACCTGATTGCTGGATGATTAAGGATATTAACATTATCTGTGATAATATTAGAAATATCTTATTATTCAATACCTTATAATCTGAAAATATTTATTTATTAATTTTGTTTAGTGTGAAAGTGTAATCTGATCTGACAAAATATATTTATCACCACTATTTAACACATGTCTGGTCATTGGAAATATAAAAAAACAATCATTAATTGTACATCTTTAAACATCTGGTTATTCAATTCAAAGTTCATCTTTGTACGAGAGCTGGAAGAACATGTCCGTCAGTCTTCCTGACTCGTTCTCCTCCTCCCTTTATGACACCGAGTGTCTGGTGTGTAAAGGCATCCTGATACTGTAGGTTAGCACTGAGGTGCTGATTGGCTCAAACTCTTCTTCATCAGAGCGCCATATTTCAACCCCCCAATTGCTCTGCTTTTGTGTGGCTCATTCAGTGAGCTCTGTAGCTGACCCCCCAGTGAAACGGAGGCTCATCTGCCTGTATTCCTTCTGCTATCTGCTTGAGAGCAACTGCGTATTCCTGATGCATCCAGGTTTCCCCCCCGTGATGGGAGAGGTTAGGAAGACATCAAACTCCTCCAAGAAACATGGAACCTTGTATTATAGAAACCTCTGAAGCCCTCGCTCGTCCTGCAGGGTTGTCTGCTAGAGCCCACCGAGCAGAAAGATGAAGAGAAGAACCCCCTCTTATCAGAAAGGTGAAGAGAAGAACCCCCTCTTATCAGAAAGGTGAAGAGAAGAACCCCCTCTTATCAGAAAGGTGAAGAGAAGAACCCCCTCTTATCAGAAAGGTGAAGAGAAGCATCCCATCTCGAACGACCTGGTGCTTCCTTGCACGTGGCTGGGGGTGCTCTCTGCACCCGGAGAGTGTGACCCTCTCTCTCTGACCCTTGGCCTTGAGAGCTGTCCTAGTTATTGGGTTAACACCTGATAGGGATGTTTTCTGAGTGAAGACAACTCAAAGTAATGGATTAGCACATTATCATTTAATTACAAAAATAGGATAGGCCCCTCAGAATTATTTGGGAGCCTTCCTGACACATGCACATTATCATTTTGAAGGTTTGTGTTAGTCATTTAACATGCAAGAATCATATACTCATCAGTCCATAGCAGAGAAATGTTATTGTAAGTTAAAGGTGAGCTTGTCCCTGTGGATATAACCCCTTCTCAATGATTCTAAATGTATATTAATTCACCATTTACCTTTTGATAAAATATTAGTTTATCAGAAATATTTTGTCTCTTCCATAAGACAGGTTTGAGAAATAAATTACCCAATATAATTGACTCTTCCCTCCCTTTTCTTACATATGGTACATATGAAATAATAACTTAGGAGTCTATTTAAGCATGGTATAGTTTATAATTTTATGTATGCACCCCGGACCGGCACCAGCTCCTCCAGCAATGTAGGGAGCTGTGGCGCATCAGGTAATGCACGCACTTCGCACTTTCCAGCACGTCGTAAACGGCCACAAGCCACGAGAGTGCTTTTAAACCGTCTCGTTTTTACTAGAGACGGCGGTGGTGTGAGTTAAAGCTATAGACAAAAGCTGTGATTTTCTCCCTCTGAGTTCACTTCACCAGCTCATGCAGATACGGGGAGGTATGTTACACACATTCCCCGGAGCCGCAGCTAGAGCCGTGTTTTTTTTAGAGGTGCTGGGGGTAATATCTCTGGCTGCTTGAGTTAACTGCTAGTGTTGGCCGCTGAAACCCCCGGAATCTCGGCGATTTGTTCATTACAAATCTCTATTTTGATTTCACACAGAAGTTCCACTTTACTGCTGCCCTCATTAAGGTCTTTTTAAACATCTCCGTGTATGCCTGCACGGCACATACGTCCCGAGCAGCACACACAGAGGGAACCAGCCAAGACAGAGTCCCTGGATGATCCCCTGGGGTTACTAGCCCCAAATGTTCATTAACCAAAACGAAACGCAGCCGCTTAGCTTCACAGATAATTTTAGGATACCGTCAATCACAGATTCTGGTAAGGCAATGTCCAAATGTAGATTTGAAATCACACTTACCAGTCTCTGAAGATCTGTTGGTATCCTGCCGACAACGCCAATTTGTGGAGGAAACTTCTGTGTAGCAATGCATGGAGTCACCGACTCAGGAAGGAGACACGGTGAGAGTTGGAGCTTTGATGTCAAACACTGATGGGTTTATTTCAGAGTATCGGCCGGAGGATTCACATCACAAATCAAAGAGTCAGAGGTTCTGACTACACGGTAGAGTTGCCACGTCAATTCTGAAGAGCCTCTCTCTATGTTAGACCTTTTAACTGGTTCACAGAGAATCAACATCTCTGAAGGAGTAGACTAAACAGCTGGGAACACTGAGCCACCTGCGTCCGACACTCATGGCCTCAAGGATTTCACATCCTAGAGCCCACAAACACCGATAAAGAAGTGCCTCAGTGTTCTCACAACAATTACCCCTCGTGCCAGACAAGTTGACCGGTCACAAACTGGTGACAACAACACATATGGCACCAATGCCTTTCCTTAAAGGAGATAACAGACGTCAGAGTAGATCATAAAACGTCACAGAGCAAAAGGTTAGATATCTAGAAGAATTATTCCTTAACACTCTTTAGTTCAGTTTCCATTGTTGCATAAGACTGATCCAGATAGCTCTGACTATGGCTGTCCTCTGTCTCCTGCTATCTGTATTTTGCGCAGTATATCTCTGAACGATGCGATGGTGATTCCACTGTGCAAATGGGCAACATTTCCTCTACTATGAAGGATGCTACAAGCCTGTCCATCTCTGCTTTGGTTACCGGTCCTCCAAATTCTAATTTGTGCTGCTTCGGAGTCGGCGGCGGCGACTCACAACATCCTCACTCTGGGTTCGGGGGGCCTTAGCTATTAGCTTCACTTTAGCATGTGTTCTTTGCAGGTGTTTGTTGAGGTTTGACGTGGTGTTTGCAGCAGTGTATAACAGCTTCTGGCCTGGACACAGTTTGCACCTCACCGTCACATTCCTGTCTATTCTTCGGACGAACTCAAAATAATGGGCATACCTCCACCCCTCGAAAGTTATCGCTGACTCTGCCATGTTTATGCAGCACTGCACGTGGAGATGTGGACGCGCAAGTCGCGCAGATTACGTACATATAAACCTGCGGCAGAAACCCCTCTTGTCTGTCAGTGTGATTATGACTGATTTTATAAAAGTAACGAAGTAACGCGTGTCGGGGCAATGTTAGTAACTGTAGTGTGATTACTGAATTATAAAAGTAACGCGTTACACTACTCCGTTACCGACAAAAGTAATATTATTACAGTAACGTGTTACACCCAACTCTGATGATATGTCAATAAACCTTAGAAAATCATGAAATCTTGAAAGGGATGTGCAAAATAGCCATTATATACAGTTTTTAATTAACTATTAGTAGAGAATAACGAGTAATGAATATACTTTATAGAGATCTGCAGATAAAGGTAGGACACGTTCGATTCCTGTTTTGAATAGTGTGCCATCGATGGGTTTCATTCCATTTCAAACTGCTGTTGGTATAAACTTCGCGCAACATCCAATCACAGAGCTTGAAGACTAATCACGGGGTTTGTCAAGCAAAGCACATGGTGTAGTCCCAAACGATAGCTGAGGATTCTGGGTAGTGTAGTGTCTTCTGCAATCCTAAACTCCGAAAAAATATTTGTTTCTCCGAATCGAAGGGGAAAATTACAAAAGCATTGTACACAATTTAAACCAATCAATGTTGTGTAATTAACAAGGATAATCTGGTGTTTTTGAGTTGATGAGTAGTGCAGATATCACTGTAAAATCAATCGACAGTAAGGAGAATACTTACTTCCGGGTGTAAAATCCTCCGTTATCCAATGGGAATGGACGCTCACATTGCCTTTGAGACTGTGTTGAAATTACACCCTCGCCTACTGATTTTAATTTAACCATATATCGAGCCTGATCGTCGATTTCAAATGTGTGCTCTAAAATGATATTTATAAATGACTATTATCATTATTATAAGCAAGACAATACATGGCAAAGATATGTAGAAAATAACCGTATTTAAGATACGTTCAAAACAAACGTAATGTGGGAGAAAATACGTTTCTAGCTAAACGTAATTGAGAATGCAGTTTAGTTCTGTGGGAATGTAATTTTTAGGAGACAGGGTTGCACAATCGGGCAGCTAATATATTAGCTGCCCGATTGCTCAACCACCAACACTATGTTTTGTTAAATGATGGCCTTGAAATGATTGCCAGATTGCCATTAAACTGACACTGACATTAACTTTAAGGCACAATTACATCAGAGTTATTATCAACTTTGCTAAAGTTGGCGAGATAGCCAGGATAAAGTTCATAGCGACCGTCATATCACAGCTTGTAACCATAAACACACCTCAACAATTGAGCCGTTTCAGTTTGTTGTGAACAAAAAACCATTTCCATACTTCAACACAATTGTAGGTAAAGTTGGTGGACATACAGTTTCAACTTGATAGCATTAGCTAGCAACTTAGCTGAGGTCGGCGCTGTATTTGCAGCTCAACTTCCATAACAGCTCGGAGCTTGAATCCCTATTAGTAGCTACATTGTTTGTTTCAAGCATTACAAATCCAAAAGTAACTTTACAGGTTGTGACCCTGAGTCGCAAGATTGGCCTAACAAAGTCTTTCATCCGACCGTGAACTGTGCGTGGTTCAGGAAGCAATCCTAAGGAATACTCTACTGGTAGAAATGAATTTCAGCCACTTGTATTTAACTCCTGTTATTTTGGTTGTCCACACAAAGGTCCCTTCAAACCGTACACATAGCAGCTAACAGCGTCTTTTCGACATGGTGTTGCAGGTATACAAACTGACCTTCCACCTAGGTCCAACAACAAAAAGCCTCCGCTCGGGTCAAGCTCTGCCGTGGCTCATTTGGAGCACTAACCAATGCGTGAGTGGTAAATCGTGATGTCATTATGTGATGGCAAAAAACAAAGGAGTCAAATCGAGGCAATTCTGGCACATAAACGTTGGTATTTTGGCCTTGGAAGACCATTTACATGTGTACACGTGTATTTCTATCATTCCACTACAATTACGCGAATACTAGGAGTTTGTAGAATTAAGATAAAAGGGATCAGGGTCTGGGATTGTTGTGCTTGTTGTCCTTCAAGAAATAAAATGTGGATGAATGTATATAACGAGGTTGTACTTCTTGATGGGGTAAATCCTGACTAATCGTATATTAAAAGCAAAGGCAATCTCGAGATTCAGGTTCACTCTTTATGAATAGTGTTCTCCTTGTGTCTCTCTTTTCCAGATTTCTCAACACTATAACATCCCAACTCCTACTGACGCAACAACCCTCAGTGTCAATGTAAGACCAGAGTTTGACTGCACCAGCAAAAACACCAAACTCACTCTGAATCTTCAGTCCCGGTAAGTTATCAACAAGCAGATTCACGGGAAAGAAGAACACTGACATTTCTGAGAAACAATGCTCTGCATTTTCCAGCATGAATTATGTAACTGCTGGAGGATGGACATGGGAGAAATGAATGGCACTTTCCTTACAGATTTAGTGGAAAGGAGAACAGCACAAACATGGTGATACTGGATATCAAAGCACTCTCTGGATTTGTCCCAGACCAAGAATCTTTGAAGAGGGTGAGTTATTTCAGTAACTTTCACCTTTAGCTCGAAGTTTAAAAAATCTTCATCTGTTGTTGAGCCACCCGGCTGATTACCATCTCCTCACAGCTCAGAGGAGCCCTGCTGGTGGATCGCGTTGAACAAAAGGAGGATCATGTTCTGGTGTACATACGGGAGGTGAGAAAAATTGATATCCTCAGCGAGCAGCAACAGATGATGCCCTTCACATTTGTTATTCATGGTTTTGTTTATTTTTATCCCAACAGTTACCAAAAGACATACCTATCAACCACAGCTTGGATCTCAGACAGGAGATCCCAGTGCAGAACATGAAGCCAGCCGTGGTCAAGATCTATGACTACTATCAGCCAAGTAAATCCTTACGAACCCCTAACAGAGACTACAGCCCACACTGATACACTCTGCTCCAACCTGAACATTCTCAGAATAGTAATGTTTTAAAATGATTTTGTGCTTGGATAGATTGTTGTCTCCTTATCTTCTGCTTCTTTTTCCTTCATTCCTCTCAGGTGACCAGGCTGAGACAGAATACACACACCCTTGTGTTTCAGGTAACAATCTGTGCTTACATACAGCAGAACTCAAATCTATCTTATAGAAATCATATTATGGACATATATTATTTTCAAAAAATTACAGAAGGCTAACATTTTATCTCTACTCTAACACAGATTTATACATGCGGTAATTGTGTAACCTTAAACCAAATCAAGCAAAACAACTATTGCAGACTGTAAGATTTCACAGTGACTGACTTTCTTTTTTTAATTTCTTTTTGCAGCTTGAAGAGTGAAGTCTGATCCTCGGGCCTTCAAGGATTCCAGTACGATAAACAAATATTTGTTTTTATCAAAGATACAGTTTATGTACCTTCACACCAGTTTACTTTGTTAATTAGCTTAGTTTTCTGCAGCAATGTCTAACAGCTGTTAAACTACAGCACATATCTGAAAAACAACAATGTAATATGCTTGTCTTAACCTGAAACTGGTCTTCCACTGTTTTCTCCTTCTGCTTTACATGTATCGTATCACAGTGTACAATTTGTGCAGGTCAGCTTGGTGTGGAAATTTCAAATATGTAAAAAAATATATTTTATGGTCTTTTGTATGCAATCCCTGGAGGAAGTTTTGGATAACATAACTATGCCGATGAAAGGGTGACTAATGAGCATGACTGTTTAATACAAATAAAAACAAACTGAATGCTAAAAGTGTAACTCAATTTGTTCTAGAAAGCAAAATAGTATTTTGTTATTGATGGAAGCAATGTGTTATTGTCTTTGACAATAACATTAACACATGGCTTCCATTTTCGTTTCTTGATCGCCCTCTCACGGGAGAACACTTCACTGTCCGGCTTCATTGTAGGATTTCTGCCATGTCTCTACCACTTTAGTTTGACCATCTCTGTTATTAACCTGTTCCACCCTGAGCCTGTTTTTCAGGTCTTAGGCTCGAAAATGACATTCCCAGAACAAATGACCATACAGTATCTTCCCTTCTAAAAGGGTTAAATTAATAATCTTTGTTCTCAAAGTAATGATAAACCTGTGAGTTGGATGTAGAAAAGTCAGAATCAATATAGATGTTTTTTATTTTAAAGAAAATTCAGATTGAACATAGTAAAAAACTGTAAATTATAGTGTCCGTCCAAACATTCTTTTTTAGTAGACTAAAAGCTTTAGGAATCCAAAGTATAACATATAATAAGTACCCTGTATCAAGATTGATGCAAAACAAGTTAAATTTGACCTTTTTAGAGAGATTTATCAAAGAAACCCACTTCTGGGGTCATTTGGGTGGATTTTCCATATCTCTGGCCCCCCTTGGTCGATTTTGATGAATGAAATCTCTTTATAACCGCTAGAGCCAATGGAATCGAGGGGAAGTTCTATACACACCAACACATTAACAAATAAGGAGTGAGAGTGACGCGTGACCAAAACCGGAAGCTGCATACACTCTGTTGGCTACCATTAGCAGCTAACTTTTTTGCTCCGATTTTTACATAAAAATGGAATTATGGATTATAAATAATTTTTTCAAAGGCACAGATACATTATTAACCTATGGATCAACCGATTCAGCCGCGTTTTTTCTCGTTTTAATGCCATTGAGCACGTCTTTTGATCAGATTGACAGCTACGGTGAGACGATCTCCCGTAAAAGCTCCGTAAAGGTTTGTGTTGTGATGTCTGTGTTTGCTTCCCCTGTCGCGAGTTCGGATCGCTCAGTGATGATACAATACCTATATAATCTGTGGAGTCTCAGCTTTAATCGTATATATTGTATGTGCAGTTTCGATAAGTAATAAGGGTATCTTTATCTTGAGTTCTGTGCTAAAGTGTGTTAGTGTAGTGATCACTGATTCATACACTGGGGTTACATAATTCAATCCAGGAACTACAGGTTGGGGGTATTGTTTCACACGGACACATATCTTGACGGTACCTCCGGGGTACCTACTGTAGCCTCGTCTCAATACCCCTCCTCGACTCCTCCTTTCCCTCACTCGCGTCCCTTCCTTGCGTCTTAGCTCCGCCTCCGTAAGATGCGAGCGAGAGACACGAGGAGGTGACGCGAGGACAGAGGAGTCCTCAGGTATTAATTGGGATGTCCTCGTTCACTCAAACGTCACTCTTAAACGACGTCTGTTAATGATGACATGTGCACAGCTGTATCCCCTCTCATCGGGCTTAACTGAATAACCCCTTAGAACCGGCCCATTTGTTGTTAAATGTATTTAAATTATTAATCTTTCTCTTGTTAGTCAAGGAATTCAATGTATGATGGTTGGTCCTGCTTTTGTGTTCCGTTTTGGTGTAAAATGTACATTTCAATAAAATTATAATTATAATATTGTGAAAGCCTTTACTCTGAACATGTGTGTCCTGTAGATCCCCACATTCACCACAAACCCACATTCAGCACTGTGCATTTTAAATAATTTAACTACTCAATATTTTAACACAAAACAAAACAAATAATTGTTATTTATCAAGATCTAGCCATTTATGAAATAGCTTTCTTAATAGCTATGTTTTAGTGACGTTCAAGATCATTAAACATGACTTAAATTGTTAGTATAACCTTAAGAAATGAATTGCACATAATAATTCCCACGGAGCTGTGAGCACTTATACATTTATGTGACGCTTTTCCACTCATCTTCCAGTTCTCCGTTTTCCTGTGTTGAAATCGACCAGCTGTGAAGGTGGGGGCGGGGCTTTTATACGCGAGTAGTGAAAACACTTCTGCGTAGTCTGCTCTCGTGTATCCTCCCTTTCGTCTCCTCCCGCACCCCTCCTCCCTCACCCCTCCTCGACTCCTCCGTGTGCATTTCAGCTATTGGGACGTCCTTCAACATGGCGTGTCTTGATCGATTTCCGGGTCAAGTCCCGGAGGAGGGGAAGAGAGGAGTCGAGGAGGGGTATTGAGACGAGCCTTGTGTGTGTGTCTCTTGCACTTTCTCTTCTCTTCTGCGGCTTCGACCCGACAGCATGTCGATTTCTGCTCCCCAATAAAGTGAGATTTGCACCTCCGATGCACCGCCTCCGTCTCTCTTCTCTCTGCACTACATTGGTGACCCTGACATAAGTCTCGCGAAGGATCCGAGACTGAATCGAACACGGCAAAAAGCGCAGCTTTTCTCGGAATGCCGGAGATTCTTGGAGACGTCCGTTGCTGCCTCGTGCGCACGGACTGAGGCTCGGTGCGGCCCAGCGGGTTGGCGGAGGACGACGCTCGCCATTTCCGCGGCTTTTCGGCTCTGGGGGACTGCAGGCCTTCCATGGAGCTGGTACACGACCGTGCCGGGTTTATTCGGGGCATGCAGCTGCGTGTCCGGCCAGCGACTACCGGCCGTCGAGACCGGCTAGCCTCGACTGCTAACGACAGCTAGCCACGACAGCTAACGGCTAGCTGCTACCAACGGCTGGCGACGACTGCTACCAACGGCTGACGGTGACTAGCAGCTACCAGCGGCTATCGACATCCGACTGTTTTTTTTTTGTTTTTGTTTTTTGTGGTGCCGGAGAGGAGGTTCGATCACGTCTGGTCGGCCTCGTGTGGATCCTCTCGCTATTTCGCCCACCTGTTTTTGATCGTGGACGGGACGACCCTTTGAGCTTTTTCTGGTGCCTGAGAGGAGGTTCGACCATGTCTGGTCGGCCTCGTGTGGACCCTCTGGCTGTTTCACCACCTCGACGGCGGTTTCGGACGTCACACACTCCTGCTTCGGCCCGTGGGTGACGCGCTTCTGGACCCCGTCTCGCCTCTTCCCTCGCCTCGGCGGTTTCGAACGTCACCCGTGCCTTCATCGGCCCGCGGGTGGCGCGCTTCGGGACCCTGCCTGGCCTCTCCTCTGACCGCGGCTCACGGTTCGCCTCGACGGTGCCCCGTCTGGCCTCTCCCCTGTCCACGTCTCCCTCCTCCCGGGGACACGGCTCCTTCCTCCCGAGGACTTCGTGCCCGCCGCCGCTGTGCCTTCGCCTGCGGCCGGGCAGCGCTCCTCCCTGCTGGGGACCTCCGGGTGTTTCACGCCTGTCCCCACGACGCGACCCTGCTTTCTGCGGCCCGCCCCCCACCCTCCGGTGGGGATGCCCTCGCCCTCGTTGGGGCCCATACCCTCTCCTGCGGCCCCCTGACGACGGCCCGTTCCGGCCCGCCCTCCACCCTCCGGTGGGGGATGCCCTCGCCCTCGTTGGGGCCCCTACCCTCTCCTGCGGCCCCCTGACGACGGCCCGTTCCGGCCCGCCCTCCACCCTCCGGTGGGGATAACCTCGCCCTCGTTGGGGCCCCTACCCTCTTCTGCGGCCCCCTGACGACGGCTCGCCCCCGCCCTCCGGTGGGGATGCCCTCGCCCTCGTTGGGGCCCCTACCCTCTCCTGCGGCCCCCTTCCGATGGCCCGTTCCATGGCCCGGCCCTCGCCGGCGGCCCCGCCCTCCTCGGCCCCTGTGGTGCTTCCTCCCGGACGCGAGGATTGTGTCCATGGTTGAATTCTGGGGGGGCTTGTGTAGTGATCACTGATTCATACACTGGGGTTACATAATTCAATCCAGGAACTACAGGTTGGGGGTATTGTTTCGCACGGACACATATCTTGACGGTACCTCCGGGGTACCTACTGTGTGTGTGTCTCTTGCACTTTCTCTTCTCTTCTGCGGCTTCGACCCGACAGCATGTCGATTTCTGCTCCCCAATAAAGTGAGATTTGCACCTCCGATGCACCGCCTCCGTCTCTCTTCTCTCGGCACTACATTAGCATATTTTCGCTTAGTGCTAATTCAGAGGCTTGGTATTACCCTTGTGTTTTGTTTCGGTAAAAATGGTTCATATCTTCAGTTAGCTGAGATTCTTCCCGTTAATCTGGTGCTACACATTAATAGTTTCATAAATGTTAAGAAGCCCTGAGACATAGTCTCGAAAAAAAATGGTGGGGGGGGGTCCACTGGGGGGACCGTCGTCCTTAAGAGGTTATGTTATGGAATACTAAATAAATATGTAATTAGATACCACCGTTACTGCGCTCAAAAGAATGATAAGAATACGAATAATGCGTATAGAACTGGTTTCATTAATTTTGTATTTAAGGTAATTAGTTAGAAGCCCTATTTTATCAGTATGTCTGCACAGCAGTTACAATGGTCAAACTACATTAAGACAGAATTGTCCCCATTTTTTATTTAATCCTGTCAAACTGAGAGGCTCTGATAACGTCAGCTCAAGTGAGGTAAAGGACTCTCTCAGTGTTTAGATATACTTAAGTCTAAATTATATCAGTGGGTCTCAAACGGTTTGGTCACCATTTATGTAAACACATATTTCCATTTGAAATGGGAGTGATTAGTAAAATATGCATGAAATTAAAAAAAAAGTGAACTAGGTGAAATAAGGCAAGATAAACTATAAAGACTTGTTGAGAGCTAAAACTAGTCTTTACTGTTGCGTCACACAGGAGCAGGGGGGAGAGGAGGGAGACAGGAGAGGCAGATTCATGAGCCCAGACACACTCACAACTAGAAATGAACCAAAGATAATTAAAATAAACAAGTTTCAATGTTTGGTTATTGGATATGGTATGTTATTTGTTGTATTCCTACGATTTTATGATTATTGAAAAGTACACAGTTCTGTTTCATATGGATGTTTCCATAGATTTAGTCTCTTTATTTTGCCTCAAAGTGCACCAGATTGATACATTTAACTCCA